ATTTCTAGTGTATTCAAATATGCAGAAAGCGCTGAAGCTCCTGAAGACTGAACTGTAAGGGGAAGAAGGAAGCCCCTGAATACTATGAAGTCTGATCTTCCATCTCTTCTCCACACATTGAAACTGGTGAAGAGACCACTTAGAGTGATATTTAGTGATGTGTAGTGCTGGTTTATATATATAAACACTACAGTTTTACATTAGCACTTTTGTACTGGGCAGCATTTTTAAAAGCTGGAGGCTTTTAATTTAAGGCATACAGAAGAATACTGTATGATCCAACTGTAAAAATGATTTTTTAAAAAATAAATCCATTTCAAGTGTTTACATACAAAGCATTGCAGTGTTATGTATTTTTTCCTTATTATCACCTACCATTTTTAGAAGGAGTAAAATCACACTGTTACTTGAAACCACAGCTTGCAGTTCTACATCTAGGCACTTGGGAAGGAAAAGGGCTGTTGTGGTTCAGCCCCACACAGCCGCTGGCTCACTCCCCTCCAGAGGGATGGGGGAGAGAATCAGAAGGGTAAGGGTGAGAAAACTTGTGGGTTGAGATGAAGACAGTTTAATAGGTAAAGCTAAAGCTGCACATGCAAGCAAAGAAAAATAAAGAATTCATTCACTACTCCTCATCAGCAGGCAGGTGTTCAGCCACCTCCAGGAAATCGGGGCTCCATCACACATAACAGTTGCTTGGGAAGACAAACGCCATCACTCTGAATGTCCCTCCTTTCCTCCTTCTTCCTCCAGCATTATACACTGAGCATGACGCCATATGGCTGGGGGATGTGCCTTTGGTCAGCTGGGGTCAGCTGTCCAGCTGTGTCCCCCCCCAACTCCTTGTGCTCCCCCAGCCTCCTCACTGGTGGGGTGGGGTGAGAAGCAGAAAAGGCCTTGGCTCTGTGTAAGCATCAGCAATAACTAAAATATCCTTCTGTTATCAACACTGTTTTGGTCACAAATGCAAAGCATAGCACCATACAAGCTACTATGAAGAAAATTAACTCTACCCAGCCCAACCGAGCCCAGGAAAGCAGCTTTTTATCTCCAGTTTCAGCAGCTAGCTGAGCTCTGCACTTCTCAGCCTGCTTTCTCCATTTATTTTCCTGCAGCACCAACCTATGTCAAGCTCTCATTATCATCCCTTTCTTTACAGTCAGATAACAAGAAGCGTAAAGAGTACTTAAGACTAGAGGATGGGATTGCTCACATGTGTGGGGCTTTTTTGTTTCTTTTTTTAAACTGGCTGCATTCTGAAGTTGTCTGAGGATCACCTTACCTACTTGGAGGAATTTTTTTTTTTTTAAAAAGACAAAACCTGCTTCCCTTCAAAGATTCCTGCTTACCTCAGAATTCAGTAAAGCCTTGAGATGATTAATAGAAGTGATACTGTATTGAGTATATGGTTAGTTTCATGAATGCGTTACAGCTTGTGATTGCTTATTTACAAGCCCAAAAGGGACAAGAGAAGTCAGAACTAAAAGAAACCCTGCAGCTGAACACCACGGGAGTACACACCACCTTAAGACTTAGACCAAAAGGAGACTTTCCAACCTCAAATATCTAAGAAGTCAGCAGCAGCACCAGTAAAAACACTTTGCTCAGGACTATACCTCCACTATCTTCTCAGCTTTTTGGCAATGTCAGCTATTACCACTACTATTACCATTACTACCACTACCAGTCACGATCATAACCATGAGAGGAATACACCTCAGAAGGTAGGGCAGGCAAGAGAAGTAAGGGTTTCAGCTCAGGGGAATTTCTCAGCAAAATTAGAAGCAAGGCACCTGCTAATATGTCTTTGGCAAGCTATGTGAACCCTACCAACCAGAAAATCTCAAGTGGTACCTAGAAAGGGCTCCAGCCATGCAGTTCAGTATTGCTTCAGGAGTTCAGTTAAGATGTTCCTTTCTATTGCAGCATCCTTTAACTGCGAGGAGGAAATTCTTTGCTGCAGAAGGTCCTTCCCTTCTTCCTTCCGAAGCAGAAGATGAGGGAAAAAAAGGATGCAATAGGGGCAGAAATATTCTCTAGAAGCAGCTATCATCCACAAAAACCAAAAGAGGTGATTACAGCACTGAGCAGAGGGACAGCACAGAGGGAGGCTGGAGCAATTGGTTATCAGAATCATCTTACCTACTTGACCCAAAGTACACTTGCTAGAGCTGTGTATCCGACATAAAACAAAAGCTGCCCATGCCATCACATTTTAAAAGTCTGTTTTTATAACTCTACTGAAGTAGCATAATGTTCTTAAGTTGATTTAGTGATGCTATGGATAATATCCAGCAAATGGATTTAAGGCATATTCTACAAAAGTCTACTAGTCTATGTGCTATAGGTGCAAATATACAAGCTAGTTCAGCCTGCAAGTATGAAGAAATTAATTTTTAAAATAAATTAATTTTTTCACTCAAGGCTGTGCTTTTGTAGTTTGCTTTTGACCTTAGCCAAATTTGCAAGAGTCTTAACACATAAATGATCAATTTAATTCTGCTCTTTTCATCCCCTCCTCTAAATACAGATTATTAAGGTTTACAAAGGCATCAAGCCAAGCTGAGGTACCTAAAAAAGCTCTTTTCCCATTTCTTTGGAAAACCTGGGAAATAATTTCTGAAGTATATATGCTCAGTAACTTGAAGTGCATGGGATGGATGGGTTTTCCAGAACCCCACTAGCATTTGGACAATCTTTAAATAATGAGGCCTAAAAATAATAATGCAAGCTAATAATACCAGCAGACTCCTATTCCCTTATCAGCTATAGGTTTTAAGGTACATTTTTACAGGTATCAACTCAAGTTATGCAAGCTTTTTTCTTTTTTGTAATAGATAGTTATTTTCATGTGAAAGGAGGCAGATGCTGTACAGTGATATCAGTATGTTAGTTAATACCCGGATTAATTTTCTTCACAGATGCAAAAGAATTATATTTTATTATTTTATAGCCAGTTATTTTTACGTGATAAAAAATGTGTAGATGCCTTGAAAGAAGTCAAGTCAGGTTTCTACACTTTCCAGAATAACAAACTTTAAGAAAGCATTTCGACATAGCTAAGGTCAAAAGACAGGTAATGGAAACATTAAGAATGCTCCAAGTTAAACCGTGTTATTTTGATACTCTGCTGCTGTAAATAGCTTCTAGAAAATCTGGCTACAATTAAGCCTCAAGCAGTCAGATGAAAGTTAAAATGCCTCCCTAGAAACCAACCAACCAACAAAAAAAAAACCCAAAAACAAAAACACTTTTATGACCAAAACTATTTTCTCAAGAGGAAAGACAATGCAATGAACAAACAAAACTTCAAAGACAAAACCCACCAAGAACAGGTATAAATACCTTTAAAAAATGCTCTATTTCAAAACGTCAAAACAGTACAACGTTTCTTGTACACTGACATGTGAGTCAGACCTCTCCTGAGGAAGGCTACTCTCTTCCCCCCCAAACCAAAGCCAGAATCATGTGTTTTACTGCCTCCCTTTAAGAATTAGATTCCAAAAGTGAACACACACCTCCAGTGTGAATTTCAAGGTTTGTGTTGGTTGGGGTTTTTTAAATCACAATCTTTTAAATCACCATCTTAAAGAGACAAAGTATTATTAATATGATAGAAAAACTTTAATCAAACCATACGATCCACTGATCTGTCTTTTGACTACTAAAACAAATTCACATGTTATGAGACATAAGAGTTTCTGAAGTGGTAACATTTTCAGTATTTTCTCAGTGATGCACATTTACACTCCAATATCACCCACCATATTTATGAAACCAGACCCACCCAAAACTAAGCATTAAAAACAATTAGGAATAAAGTCAAAATTGAAGCAGCAGTGTGGTATTATTTTAAGCTTCATACACCCTCTCCATAAGACACCTCCTTTAATTTATTACAGTAATGCACAAAATACGGAGCCTGTCTAGACTACGAAAATTAACTGTTGCTAAAGACAGCCAGCCGCAAGATAATCACTGTCCTCTTGACACGTATTGAGAATGGCTGGTTAGCTGCTTAAACAGGACAGAACTTGGGGAAGAAAAAAAAAAAGCTGCATACATTTACGTTACACTTCAGTAGTAGTCTGAAGGCTCTTAAGGTCTTTTAGTACATGAGTGGTCTCTTACACTGAGTGTACAAGTACATGCTTGAAACAGACACCAATACTTCTTGACATACGAAGCAGTAATTCACAGACCAAACACCAGGAGATGGCGCTGACAGCAGACGTTGAAGAATCGGCTACACCTGAAGAGATGAAGTCTTCAGCAAGTTCTTGACATCCCTCTGCGTTCAGGTTCAACTCTTCCCTCGAGACAATTCCTTCTTTACAAGCACTGGGCACATGAAAGTCTGAAAGTGTTCTGAAGGGCATGTATTTCAGCTTCTTTTTGCCTCCTTCGCAGGAGCAAGGAGGCATCTCCCTAGTAAAGGGAGACCGTATGAGGACCCACTTCTGTCTGCCCTCACTGTCTTTCTTTCCATCTCGCTCAGATGCTGTATTCCTTAGCAGATGGCCTTAATACTCTTCCCCTTTTCTTCCTGCAGAGCCATCTTTCATGCTACAGCAGCTGCCTACCACACCAGAAGCAGCAACTGAATGAAGGAAAGGTGCAGTGCAGGTCCGCAATTCAGTGTGATTAGAAACAAATGGAACATTATGCACCTCAGGTACTTAAATGTCTGATGTTCCAGCTGATGCATCACTTATTACAGGTTGGAAGAGGGACAATGCTTTCCTTCAGCTCAGACAACACCTACTACATGGATAATGTAGTGTTCTAACTTCTAATTCTTTTTTTTTTTTAAAAAAACAAACTACGGGAAACCATCTTTTTTTTGTTGGTTTTTTTTTTACTTTTCTTTCTTCCTTTTTTACACACCATTCAATCTCTCATGAAATCAAGACCGTTAGCTGGATGACAGAGGAATATACACTGTGGAGTTATTACAATAATTTTACATCATCTGAAAAAATAGCTGTACAACAACTTTCCAGACATCAAGTTTCTTACATTAAAGATGACAGACCATTATTGATTCCGATATTGTGCAAATACCAAACTTCATTCACTTGTCAAAGAAAAAAAAAGTTTCAAGTTAATCAGCTGCAGATTACATTCTCCTGGTTTTCTTCATTCATTGTTCTCATAGTGAAGATACCCATTAAAAAGTAAATAATTTTTATTCTCAACAAAATTCTAAAGCTACCAGAAAGCCAAAACAAACAGGGAAAGGCTACAGTAGTCATTAACATACACTTATGTGCACTACAGAAAATAACATCTTTAGCTTCTATTTTTACCTTAACACGAACGTGGGAGACCATTATTAAGACAAAAAAGTTGACTAGAGTTCATCCTAAAGCCTAATCAAATCATACGGTCCAACCACCCACCATATATTTTTATCATTTTAATGCAAAATCATGTGAATTTTTGTAATCAATGAATACAGTAGAAAATACTTTTGGTTTTTTTTGGAGAAGCCAGTAGTGCTATAAAACTCACTGTATAGAGTTCACCACATCAATTACCGAAGTCTAGCTCAGAGCAGCAGTCTGTCTTTGCCCAGCTACTCAATGCACCAGTCTACTTCAACGTAGAGATTCTTAGAAGAAAAATAGTGGGAAATTAAATATGAAAACTACAAATTTCTTATGGAAATTAAAGTTTTCTTTTGGGTACATGTAGAATCCCTATTATTGGAGAAATACCAAACTATGGAGAATCAGTATTTTGAAGTAGAGGGTGCAGAGAGAAGATTCAGTCCTTTATAAACTTATCAAAGAAACGCACTAGGGTTTGCACGGGGATCCTTTTGGTTCCTGTATCTATACGTCAGCCAGACTCCCAGGATCTGAAAACAAAACCCAAAGATATTATTAAGCAGAGGGTCTCCACTCTATCTTCCATCAGTTTTACAAAATGTGTTTTAAACATAAAATCCTGACAATGAATTTCCAGTACACAAGTTTAGGATATTTTACTATTGCTAAAAATGCACAACCACACACCAGCTTTCCTAATTAGAAAAAAGAATGCACCTTCTCAGAAAGAATTCATACCTAGCAACAGAAAGAACAACAAAACAAAAAAGCCAAAATTGTGCCCGCAATGCAATGCAAAATATTTTTCATAGGCATGTCTAGCATTAAATCATTCCTCCCCCTCCCCAAATGATAAACACTCATAAACCTGGTTTTAGTGTAATGATAAACAAATCCTCTAAATTGTTTCACTTTACAGTTACCACTTACCTATAAGGCTATTTTTCTGGTACATTTTCAAATCCTGTTGCTCCCCCCAACCACCATCCTCCCTCTCCTAGCAGCTTCACATTTTTAGTAGAGAAATTGAGGGCAGATGTCAGAGTGATTCTGTTTAAGTCGCTGTATCTCTCTTGTTGCTGTACTATCTACAAACCTTCTGAAAACTGCACTAAGCAGCAGGAGGAGTATTTTCACATGCTTTACTGCAGGGCTATGAAAGACCTGCTCTGAGGATTTTTATTCATTGATCAATAAAGCAAGTATATGTATCATCTGGATACTAAAGCTAAGAGTCAAAGACCTTTTTAACCTGATATTTAAAATACAGTTCACTCATCATGAAAAAAATTCTCCAAACCAAAAAACCCCCAAGACTGTGTGTGCGTGCACAGGTGGGGAGAGGCGGGAAGAACAGGGGAACAAAGTAAAGCAACAGCACTCTCTTTATTACTTTTGGAGAATGGCAAACCTAAATAGCTAATTTTCTGCAAAACTTAAACTTTACATCACCACATTTTAATGTGGTATCTAGTTGCAGTTTGTAGTCTAAATAACATAAAGCTGCAAGAACTCCCAGTGTTGAATAAAGACAAGCCCTCCTTTTGGTAGACTTAAGCAAGCTGATAGCTTGGAAAAATTTGACCTAAATAATTATTTGACTCCTGAGATAGTACTGAGAGTTCCTGTAATAAACCCCCTAAAATAAGTTGTTTCACAAAACTTTTAAGTCTTAAAAATGGGGGAAAAAGCAGTCAATTTTCTAACTTCCTCCTTACTCACCTCTGTGAAACTGAAGAAGAGTCCTATGCCTCCAACAAATCTCAGCACCATTCCAGAATATTCTTCTATTATAGGTGCACATGGTTGACACTGGCGACTTCTAAAACAATCCTGCAGCAGATACAAACAGTGAATTGCACTCCATTTTCTGATGATACTTCATTGACTGAAAGCATCTAGTTAGCTCTATAAAAGATTGCCAGCCACGGACAAAACTCTAGCAGTTTTAAAAGACACCAAAAAAGCAAGTAAATAAATCACAATGGTGTACAGCCTTTGCAGGGTGCCTGTGATTATGTTTTCAATAAGTTAACTAAAGAGCTTAGTATCATTGTAACAACTACCTTACACATTTCTCAAAAAACTCTGCTTTCTGCAACTATGAAAACAATTGTACATATTTGAACAAACACAATGAAGTTTTAAGTTTTTTCATGCTTGAAGAACTTACAGAGGAGCAGGTTTCATTCAAATCAAAAACTCTGAATCCACAACAATTCAGATTTCTCTCAATATCTGTTCTCGCACTGTTAGTGTTATTCCATCCCACCTCTAGAAGTTGACTCTAGAAGGCATAAGCAAATAAATATTATATTAACTGAACTGTTTTATGTTTCATTGGAAACCAATATACCAAGCCAAGTAAAACCTTCAGATCTTGAAGTCTAACAGGATAATGTATTCAAGAATGACTTGAATGTTCAAACAACATGTGTAGCTAATGAAATGGCAGCACCTAGCAGCAGCACATTCATGGTTATAATTTTCTTCCTTTCTTTTTCCTAAACCCAGTAACAGCACTAGTAATGGGACATGCAACTAATCTAACAGCGACCACTCAGACTTTAAACAAAAAGTGTGCTTACATGTAGGAAGCTGATTATTTAGTCACTGTACCCTTGCCTGCTTCTTACACAGTAAGAATTAGTCTCCATACTCCACAGAAGCTGGTTTTACTTTCACACTTAAGGGTCACCTCTGTTCCTAATGTAGTCATGACCTTTTCAGTTACACACGAACAATTCAGTGGCTCTATCATGTTTACATTATGATTATTGTAGATTTCATCAGCTTATCTGGAGTTGCTGAACACATGATATAGTCAAGATATCCTGCTGCTAAACTTGTGACCATAAATCTACATAGGAAGCTTAAAAAAAAAACAATTAAAAAAAAGACAGCTGAAAGTAGTTTTAGAACCCAGATGTATGGCTTACTAGCTACCACAGCCAAGCACTGCCCAAGGGCTAGTCCTTATTTAAAAGGATAATGCTGATTTTCTTAAAATATACTCTTCCCATTTTGTGGCAGACTATATGCGTGTATATATATATAAACATGTGTACGTACATATTTATAGTAGTATGCTATAAATTAACTGAGAAGTCAAGAAACTTTTCTTACCTGCTGTTCCTTGTTTAGTGCCAAACAGGCACAGGAGACAGAAAACTGGACAATAAAGACTAGCAAAAGAATAATCATGTACTGGAAATAGTAGTTAAGGATACAGTCTCAAGTTAATTTTACTTTTATAACACATACGCCTAACGGTATTCCTTATTTCATTGGACAACAATAGAACCTTTAAACAAAGTAAATATAGAAGTAAATTCTGACTGTGGATGTGGAAAAGATGACCCAAATAATGTTCCCAGAACTCAGTCACCATATATTATCACTTTTTGGCTACTACTGTACATCGCTAGTATTTCTGCGTTAGGTGTTTCTTGCCTAGCATGACAACATGAGCAAAGAAGTTAATAAAAGGAGCTTTGAGAGAGAAAAATCTATAGCCAATTTCTTCAGCTTTAGGAACTCACGTTCTCATTCCAAGATACTTCACTTAAATAAAGTACTAAAGAAAATACTTTTCTGGGTATTGCATATTCAGAATTTTTTTTCTTCAGTGACATAGTCTTGTCATTAATTACAAAAGGTAACTTTAGTCTAGATTAAAAAAAAAGTGAGAGTTGCTTTTGGAACACAGCCTCACACACTTTTGGACTAATGCATCAGAAAACAGTATAAAACATCAAGAACAAACTTTGATACTAAAGATCACATTTTGAAAGTCGGCCACTGTCTTCACAATTTGGCTCCTGTGTTCAGATGCAGATACTTACCTCACGCAGTTAAACTGTTGGTAAAGTGGATGTCACTACTTACTCATAGACCAGAACCAGAAAAATAAGAATGCCCCCTCATGAATCTCTTTTCTCACCAAACTTATCAATTTTGTTATGCAAGGCAGCACCACAAACTGCTTACACAGCATCAGTAAGCATAAAGGGGCAGCAAAGCACACTGAGAAGGCCTGTGCTCATTTCTAGTCTGGGTTCATAATTAAAAGACTAGGTATGAAAAGAAAGTGCTTCTTAACAGCCTGCATTACCCACGATGCACTCCTCTGCCAGCTACAACCACCTCGCTACCTGGAAGTACCACCTTTCTCTACCTTTAAACATTAATAGTTCACATACTCTAGCTTGGTGTAGGGTTGACCACACAGAAAGAGGTATCTGTGACACAGTGACCCACCACAAAAAGCTCTCAAAAAATTAAGATATTTTAATTTTTGAAATTAAAATATTTTAATTTTGGAATGGGGAGATGTGAATACTTCTGTCTTCAGAGCACAAACAAGGGAGAAAAAAAGGAAGCTGGAATAAAGTTGAACAGGAAGGAAGTTTAATTTAGACTGCACTTGACCAAAATAAGATTGTGAATTTCTGTTCTCTTTCTGAAGCACCTTCCACATTAGTCTCAGCAGACAGAGCAGGTTGTTTACATGGCTTGAACCAAGCTGCAATCCATGTAATGCATCAGAAGGATACAAAGAATAGCAATACTTGATGATGTTTCACCGCACCAATCAATCCGACTAAGGCAATAAGGAAGAGGAAAATTCCTACTGCAATTGCCACTCCAACAACTCTGAAACTAGAGATGAGGCCGAAGCCGATTCCCCATGCTGCAATTCCAATCAGCAGCAGGCTTACCAGCTGGAGGGAAGAGAAAACAAAAAGTTAGTCTGCATATTAAAAGAGGCTCAACCTACACACAGCTACATTCTTTACACTGAAGTTGTTATTAGAAAGGTACAATTTTTCTTTCCAGTGCAAAGAGAAGCAAAGAAGCACAACCCTAAACAAACCAATCCTCCACTTCATCGTAGAGGTAACTTCAGTTCTACATGTTTTAAGGCACACATATTCTTCAATACTGTTAACGTGGAGCTGTTACAATTTAATCTACCTACAAGTCAAGCCACCTCATCTGTGACTGACTAGAGACACTGAAGTGCAGATTATAACAGAATTGACAAATAAGCTAAAAATCAGACTTGAATTCACAGAATGGAAGAAGAATGAAAATTCCAGGTGTTTTCTGAAACAGAGGCAGTGTACTTAAAGAAAATAGGATATATAGCTCCACAGCCCTGAACATGTAAAAAAATGCAGTTTGCCAAAGCTTAGTGTAATCAGGAATACAGCTGTATTAATTCATTAGAGAAACTTCTACATAGTTGATGATGCAACACACCAGTTAACGAGGTCACACAAAAGTACTTTTTAGATCTGTATCTCAAGGACTTCAAAACAATAAAGGTGTCCTGTCTCTGCTACACATTTCTTCCAGAAAATAGCTCTACTATGAAGTCAATCCTATTTCAATATCCAAAACACTCTTAGGCTGTTTCCTTCCTTTTAAAGATGGTATTCAGGGAAGGCAGGCAGAATCTGTCCCAGCTAGTTTACTGGGTTTTACTCTTTATATGGGCAGGAAGCTCCAGCCTTTCCTGTTTCCATGCCAAAAACACAGAACAAAAAAAAATTCCAACATGAAAAGCTGCAGACAAATCTGTAATGAGGTACAGCAGGCGGGAAGCAGCAGACAAAGCCAACCCAGATGTCCAATACACAAGATGTCCAACACTCTTGTTTGAAACAGTTAGACGTATGTCTAACGTATCACCCATTACGTTCTCTGTTAAATAACACCAATTCAACATGCAAGTTTTAACCAAGTTTCCAAAACCCTGATGTCACAAAAAAATACCCAGAAGTTGTATCGTTATTAAAAAAAAAAACCTACAAAACAAAATAGTAAGCGCTTTGTCTGGTCCAACTACTTGGCTTTATTTGACAACAAATACAGAGCAAGCCCTTACACTTGCCCACCAGTTTCCGTTCAAACGAGACATATCTCATGATGTTTTACTGCTTATCCAGAGGAGTGGGGAAAAAAGAAGAAATTTCTAACCTTATCATTTCAGTATACTTATGCTACAGCAGGGCATTTTTGTTGGGTTTATGTCCATATATTTTTTCAACTTAAGTACCTTTTAGAAGACTGACCTATGTAATGCTGCTTTTGAAACATGGAAATCTAAGATAACATCAAAGTTAGTGAAACAAGTAGTGATGCTCATCATAACCAAAACATAGTGGGTGTTTTTTTCATGTGTTCACACAGGAACACATCTCAAAAAACATTTTTAACAAAAGCCAATAATCCACATGAGAAATGTAAGACAGTCTGCAAGAAGAAAAGGAGGATATGTCATAGCTACACCTCTCTCTTACCACATAAAGAGACAAAAGAATGATATAAAATGCAAAGGAATTGTTCAGTACCAGTAGAGTTCTAGGATTAATTCACATTTGACTTTGTTTGTCTTAAACAAAAAGCCTTAATCACCATGTTTATTTAAAACCGACACTGGGCCAAGATGTTGTGAATCTAAATTACAGAGGGGAGGGAAGAAAAAAATAAAACAGAACAAAAAGCTTTGGCTCTGCCACAGATAGATTTTCTGAATGCATGCTGCACAAGGCTATAAACTTTCTGATGTTATTACATTAAAAATTAGCCTTGCTAATCAGACAGTTAAGTGCAAGACCTACCTGTTGTGATCTATGCCCATTCACTGTATTTCATTGTCTCATACCACTGGGAAGATTTATTTTTCCATGTAAGCATCAGAAATTAACAACAAAAGAAATCCCATAATGCAATTTCCAATCAGAGAGTGTTGGCTGACAGCCCATGCTCTGTATCAATTTCTAAGCACTGAACTCACACTGTCACTACACAGCTTTTCAAAGTTTTATCTCATAAAAAAAATCTCAAAGGGAATGTCAAATTTCAATTTATTTCACAAAGAAAAGCAGAAGAAACTTTGTTCCTAATGATTTTCACCAAAACTTCCTACTTCTGCCTGAGCTATGACTGCAAATCTTTATTTTCACCAATCTGCCTCCAGGATACCAAAATGTGTATCTGTTCAGCTCTTTGCTCATTCATAAGAGGTCTAAAACAATTAGATGAAATGAGTTTTATTCTTAAAGTATCACAATCAAAAGAAGAGACCTAAACAAAACCTGTGCCTAAAACACCTACTGGATAAACCCAGTGCGTGAGCTGCAGGGTACTGGTTACTTCTTGCTGCTGTTACTCATCTCAGCTTCTGTTATTCTGAAGATAAGTACATGAAATTAGTGTGTATGACATGAAAAGTTATTACCATGCCCCCCTGGCCCAAAAAACTTTTCTAGTAGAAACAGCCAAATACTGATCTAGAACTGCCATGGTTTTCAAGTGGAAAAAAAGCCTCTCTGGCTTTTAAACCCATTATTGAACCCCAGATGTTCAGGAATCAGGTGACTTGACTTTGAAAAAGAAAATAACATCAAATAGTTCAGTTTCTCTTTTGATCACATTCTAGCTTTGTAGTCCTAAGTCTCACTTTCAAGCTTCACCTCCATAATACCAAGGCAGTGTTTTCTCTTCTTTCACATGACAAAGTTGTCCAGTGTCTAATTCCTTAAAACATCTGGAAATTCAGTATGATCACAGATCCTTGCTACTGAGCTCTGGCTTGCAAGCTATGTGAAAATGCTGTATCCAGTCAGGCAGATGCATGATTTGGGTCAAAATAACTATTGGCTCCTCCAATTTTGGCCACTTAAAATGGTGGAAAACTGACTTTGTGTTTCAAAACTGAAATGGAGACTGCAGGTTTACAAACCATTCCAGAAACAGATTTAGCATTAAGTTCCTGACTCCTCTGCATGTTGACTGAAAGAGGAAATTATAGTTATTCCTTCATTTTCAGGTTTGGATTGGACTAACTGAATGTTGAGCAATAAAACTATATATATATGTGTGTATATGCAATAAAAGTGTATACATATATGTGTGTGTATATATATAGTTTTATAGTGCCATAACATGAAAAACTAAAGTAACGCACACTACTAAAAACCAGAAAAATAACTTAAGCTGTTTTGGGAAAAGGTTTTACAAGTCTGTAAAACAATGCAATGCTCATAGCATTAAGCACTGTTTAGCCACTAGAAATGACTACTCAACAGTGCTTATTCCAGTGTTTTGAAACAAAAGGATTTAGATGTAATATTCTAAAAGTGAAGCTGCTAAGACTTTGCAGTAAAATGTACTTGAAACAAAATTACTTAGCAACCCCAATTACTTTTAAATTATTAATATGTACATTCTAGGCATATAAGCTTTATCTATTTATTAAAAATTCACCTTTTTCTGTTAGATAAAGGAAAAAGGACTCTCTACTGAGGTTCTGAACATCACATTTTATTTTACTGAAACCACATATCACAACACCAGAACTCCCCCAATGAAAACTGCGTCATCCTTGGAAGACTGAAGTACATGTGAAACTCCATTTTACCTGTATGAGTTTACTCACATAAAGCTAGCCTTGGTTACTAACACTTCCAATATTTGCTTGATAAATCTACCAGAAATATATGAAATCACAGGCCAGCTTTTAGCAATTAGGACTGATCCAGTTTCCCACAGGAGACTCATTAGTAAGCTGAAAAGGCATGGGTTGGAGAAATGGCCTGTTCGACTGAATGACAACAGGCTGGACTGCTGAGCTTAAAGGGTAGTAACCAATGGCCCAGCATCCAACTGGTAGTGGGTAAGAAGCACCACAAAGGCTGATACCGGAGCCAATATACAGTACCTTCATCAACAACCTGGGTGATAAGACAGAATGAATCCTCAGAAAATTTGTGGATGATACTAAACAAGGAAGAGTAATTGACTCTCCAAATAGAGATTCGACTCAGATGGACCTTGATAAACTTGAAGAATAAGCCAACAGGAACCTCGTGAAGTGCAAAGTTCTGGTCCTGAGGTGCTTCAGTGGAGCCTGGGAACAGACCAGTTGAACAGCCTTACTGAGACAGATCTGGAGATCAAACTGGTTGCCAACTTGAATATGAGCCAAGAGTCTGCTTGCAAATAGGGAAAGCCAAGAGGACTGCAATCAAAGGGAACTCAATGCTGGTGAGACTGTAACTCAAGTACTGTGTCCTATTTCACACCCCCCAGGCTGAAGAGGAATTTGAGAACCTGGATGGAGTCACCAAAATGGCCTGGAGTCTTCAGGATAATGTTTGAGAAGCAGGTGATGGAGCTGAGTTCGTTTAGTCTGACAACGAAGCAGCCTAGGGATAATCTACTAGCAACTGAAGCTGAAGGCATATTACAAAAAACCAATGGAGGCAAACTCTTCCCAGTATCACAAGTAACAGCTTGGGAGGTTCAGACTGGACATTAGAAAAAGCATCTGCAAGGCGGTTTGGTGCTGTACTCAGAGAGGTGATAATCTTTGTTCTCAGAGGTTTTCAAGACTCAGTAAACAAAGCCACAGCTGGCAAACAAGTGTTACTTGAAATCCTGCTTTGAGCAGGAACCTGGACAGATGAGCCCCAGAAGTCCCTTCCAACCAACATTCCTACACACCACAGCCAGCTCTTCCACCACAGAAACTTTGCTGCTCCCCATACCAAAAATAAAAATTTTAACAGGCAGAGAAGAGAGAGATTTAGCACTGACCAAGGACTATTCTGTACCATCTAGCTCATTAAATAGCTCCTAAACCCCATATCAACATAACACCTTCTTACAAGCAGTAAGGTCTCTCAATAAAAGAGCAATGAATGATTCTTCA